GAAGATCATACTTTGTAAAATGTTACGATTTCTTTCAAGGCCTTTCCAAAAGGTTATGATTATTCCATATATCGTGAATGCCTGTGGAGTTCCTGGTTTCCCAAAAGGTTATGAATGTCATTTTCCTATAGAATCATAGAGTTGGAAGAGACCTCATGGGCCATCCAGTCCAACCCCCTGCCAAGAAGCAGGAAAATTGCATTCAAAGCACCCCTGACAGATGGCCATCCAGCCTCTGTTTAAAAGCTTCCAAAGAAGGAGCCTCCACCACACTCCAGGGCAGAGAGTTCCACTGCAGAACGGCTCTCACAGTCAGGAAGTTCTTCCTCATGTTCAGATGGAATCTCCTTTCTTGTAGTTTGAAGCCATTGTTTCGTCCTAGTCTCCAAGGAAGCAGAAAACAAGCTTGCTCCCTCCTCCCTGTGGCTTCCTCTCACATATTTATACATGGCTATCATATCCCCTCTCAGACTTCTCTTCTTCAGGCTAAACATGCCCAGCTCCTTAAGCCGCTCCTCATAGGGCTTGTTCTCCAGACCCTTGATCATTTTAGTCGCCCTCCTCTGGACACATTCCAGCTTGTCAATATCTCTCTTCAATTGTGGTGCCCAGAATTGGACACGATATTCCAGGTGTGGTCTAACCAAAGCGGAATAGAGGGGTAGCTATGGGGTATCTATCTATCTATCTATCTATCTTGCAGCATCTTTGAGAAACTGAGAAAAAAGTTTGTAGTGTAAGCTTTCATAGACTTAGGACGCATCTACACTGTAGCATTAACGCAGTTTGGCACCAGTTCAACTGCCAGGGCTCAGTGCTATAGCATCCTGGGAGTTTTAATTTGGGGAGGCATCAGTACTCTTTAGCAGAGAAAGCTAAAGACCTTGTTAAATCATAGCTTCCAGGATTCCTCAACATTGAGCCCTGGTAGTGAAAGTGCTATTAAACTCCATTCAATCCACATTATCATCACAATGACTCTGTAAATGGCCCAAAATCACCCAATGTGTTTTGGGAAACTTGAACCTACATCTCTGAAAAACCAATCCAGCCCTTTCATCACATTTTATAACAAACTAGCCGTCCTCTGCCACGTGTTGCTGTGGCCCAGTCTGTGTATATGTGTTCTCTGTGTGTATATTTGTGTATATGTGTATATATGTGGTTTTGCACATGCATTGTAATGTGTTTTTTTTGCTTTTTAAGTCCCTTCCGCTGTGTTTTTCAGTGTTTTTCTGAGTGATGGTCACTCGTTGGCCTGAGAAGTATATTGTGTCCAAATTTGGTATCAATTCGTCCAGTGGTTTTTGAGCTATGTTAATACCACAAACGAACATTACATTTTTATTTATATAGATAAACATATTTTGAAAAGCAAAATTTGTAACGTTTCAGTTGTTCAGTCCACAACCATCTGGATTACAGTTTAATAAATCATTTAGGTGACTTTAATATGCTAATACAAATACATCTAATCAAAACTTTGGGAAAACATAACACATTCTTGTATTTTGTAAAATTAAATCTTAATTTGGAAAGCTATATTTAAACAAGAAAATTGGTATAATTTTGTTCCTGGTTGATCGTAACATGGATTTCTACATTCTTCCAAAACCATCCAGAATATCTATACGTAAATAAATGTTTAGCTGGCAGTGACATGTGACTTCTATTATTATGCATGGACTGAGGATAGGAATCAATTACAGAGAATTACAGAGAAGGTTGAAAACCTTGTAACTCCCACAATTCCATGGTAAACGGGTATAAAACTGCATTCATTCTATAATGTTTGTGCAATTTCAAAATTCCTACCTAAGTACTTCGAATCTTATGACTGTAAATTTGTAACTATGTAACCCTGAGGGTTTATTTAACCTAAAGCAAAAAGTAGTTTTGCAAAAATCCAGTCAACTCATACTGTAATATAGAAATGGCTCTGTGTAATTGTAGCTCATTTAATTTAATTCTAGATAACTGTTTATGCTGAAATTCCCCCTTGTCGAGCCCTTCAGTGAAAGAAAATGAATTATATCCCATATTATTTCCCAAAGCATTTAATACAAGTCGTGTTTTAGCTTGACAGAGTGAAATCAAATGGAGGAATGGCATTCAACAGAGTCCCGTGGAATCCTAGGAATCTGACAAGGCCTTTAGCCACCTCTGCCAAAGAATGTTGGTGTCTTACCAAACTACAGCTCCCAGGATCCTTCCGCATTAAGCCATGGTAGTTAAAGTGTCATCAAACTATTAATCATGCCCTAAAATTCCGAAATCATTCTGATACACAAAATACTTCATGTAGTTAATTACTATCCAGTCAACTTTGATTTATGGAGGCCCTACGGATGAGAGACCTCTGTGGATGCATCTACACCAGGCATGGGCAAACTTTGGCCCTCCATGTGTTTTGGACTCCAATTCCCACAATTCCAACCATTTACACTATAGAGTTCATGCAGTTTGATACCACTTTGACTGTCATGGTTCACCCTGAGATTTGTTGCTTGCAGAGACCTTACAAAACTACAACTTCTGTTTACGCTGTAGGATTAATGCAGTTTGACAACACAGCCCAGTTCAAAGCGGATACTGTGGGTTATTTTGCCTTTATATTCTGGGATATATGGCTGAGTGGAAGGGCCCTGAGTTTCCTTATGGAAAGAAAAAGTGGGATATAAATAAATAATATTGATAGATATATAATCAATATCAGTATATGCTGAAAACGAGTCTATAAATATCAATACACCTTTCAAGATAGATAAATAGATGACAGATGTAGATGGACCTATATTTAGATGACAGATTATATTTCTACATCTGTATATAGATCTATCTTTCTAGATAGATCAGTATAAATACATTGATATATAGATGACATAGATCTATATCTCTATCTATCTATCTATCTATATGACCTATATATCTTATTTAATAAATCAATAGCTTCTCTGAGTTTTTTTAGAGCGAAAAAGTGCAATACAAATAATAATAGATGCAAAATTGATCTATCATCTATCTCTGTCATCTCTATCTATCTCTGTCATTTGTCTATCAATCATTTATCTATCATCTATCTGTCATTTGTCTGTCAATTTCTCTGTCATTTGTCTATCGATCACGTCAACTAAGTTCTATCATCTGTCTGTCTATCTATCATCTCTATCTATCTCTCTGTCATTTGTCTATCATCTATCTATCTATCTATCTATCTATCTATCTATCTATCTGTCTGTCATTTGTCTATCGGTCTGTCTGTTTGTCTGTCTATCTATCTATCTATCTATCTGTATCTATCTATGTCATCTATCTATCTATTTATCTATCTGTTATTTGTCTATCTATCAAGTCAACTAAGTTCTATCATCTGTCTGTCTATCTATCATCTCTATCTCTCTGTCATTTGTCTATCTATCATCTATCTATCTATCTATCTATCTATCTATCTATCATGTCTGTCATTTGTCTATCGGTCTGTCTGTTTGTCTATCTATCTATCTATCTATCTATCTGTATCTATCTATGTCATCTATCTATCTATCTATCTATCTATCTGTTATTTGTCTATCTATCAAGTCAACTAACTTCTATTACCTGTCTATCTATATTATCTATATCTCTCTGTCATTTGTCTATCTATCATCTATCTCTGTCATCTATCTATCTATATTTCTGTCATTTGCCTATCTATCATATATCAATTTATCTCTGTCATTTGTCTATTTCTCTATCATCTATCTACCTATCTACCATCTGTCTGTCATTTGTCTATCTATCTATCTATCTATCTGTCATTTGTCTATCTGTCATTTGTTTATCAAGTCAACTAACTTCTATCCTCTATCTATCATCTCTATCTATCTGTCATTTGTCTGTCTATCATATCTATCTACCTATCTATCTGTCATTTGTCTATCTATCTATATACCTATCATCTTTATCTATCTGTCTGTCATTTGTCTATTTGTCTATCTATCTGTCATTTGTTTATCAAGTCAACTAACTTCTATCCTCTATCTATCATCTCTATCTATCTATCTACCTATCTGTATCTATCTATCTATCTTTCTGTAATTTGTGTATCTATCATATATCAATCTATCTATGTCATCTATCTATTCATCTCTGTCATTTGTCTATCTATCTATTATCTACCTACCTACCTATCTATCTATCTATATCTGTCATTTGTGTCTATCTATCTTTTATCTATTTCTGTCATTTGTCTATCTATCATCTATCTGTCATCTATCAGTATCTATGTCATCTATTTAGCTATCATCTATCTATCATTTATGTATCAATCTCTGTCATTTGTGTCTATTTATTTATCCTTTATCTCTCTGTCATTTGTCTATCTATCCATCATCTATCTATTTCTGTCATTCGTCTATGGCATGGGCCAACTTGGGCCCTCCAGGTGTTTTGGACTTCCAACTCCCACAATTCCTAACAGCCGGTAGGCTGTTAGGAATTGTGGGAGTTGAAGTCCAAAACACCTGGAGGGCCCAAGTTGGCCCAGGCCTGATGTATCTATCTATCTATCTATCTATCTATCTATCTATCTATCTATCTATCTATCTATCTATCTATCTATCTATCTATCTATCTATCTATCTATCTATCTATCTATCTATATCTCTGTCTCTGTCATTTGCCCCCCCCCCTCTCTCTCTCCTTCCCTATGCTCTATGTTTATACTGAAATATCCAGCCCCATTTCCAGTGCAATTCCCCCCCCCCCCCCAAACGGGCTCCACGTCAAGGCGTTGCCTTCTGACATCCGCACTGCACACACAAAACCGGTTCCAAAACTAGTGGAGCTGGTCGGGGCTTTTCCCTCCCTCGGAATTCTGGGAAAGGTAGTTCGGCGGCGGCGGCGCGCGCCTTTGGCCGAATGGGAGGAGGCGGTTGGGCGGACTACATCCCCCAGAGTCCCTGTCGGGGGGAAGCCCGGGCCCCCTCCCCTCCCCCGCATTGTCTCTCTCTCTCTCTCTCTCTCTCTCTCTCTCTCTCTCTCTCTGTCCGCCTCCTTCTGCGTCTGCGTGGGGGCCGAGTGCGCCGTGCGGACGACGGGCTTTGCCTCCCTTCCGAGCCGCTTTCGGCCTCTCCGGCTAGGCCGCCATTTCTGGAACTGCAGCCAACGGGTCTTTTCTTCGCCCAGGACCGTTGGAGCAGGACCCGGATTGCCAATCGGACCCACAAGATCCACAACAAGACCTCTCTGAAACCTCTCTCTCTCTCTATCTATATATTTATAGACCTCAAGGAACGCTGCAGCCTTGAGAGACTTGGTTGGAACGTGTGGATGCGCCGACGCGTGTCTTTCTCCTGCTTTTCACGTGTTTGGATCTCGAAATAACCGACTTTTTCTTCCTCTCCTTTCCATCTTGTTGCCCTCATTGGCAGAACATAGAAACGATTGACTTTTTCGTCCCTTTTATTTATTTAATTTTAATTTGGGGTGACTCCAGATTTCACCCCGAAAAGGGGGTCTTTTGAGTCCACACACAAAAAGAGATCCAGAAGGGAGAAAGAAAAGGGACACCCAAGGCGAGAAGCATCTGCTTCCAACAAAAGTAGGCGAGTCGAAAGGTAACTTGGAAGTTTTGCCTTTTGTGTATTGAAATGGCCAATGTGGATTCTGTTTGGGAAGGAAGGAGTTCCCAGGAGTGTGGATTCGGTTCCTGCATTATTAGTTTGGTCCAGATCCATTTAAGCCATGGAGGAAGGAGCCTTTGTGGTAGAGACATATATATTCTCTCTCTCTTTCTCTATCTTTCCATCTCTCTTTCTTTCTATTTTCATATATCTCTCTATCTATTTCTATTTATCTACCTATCTTCCTTCCTATCTCTCTCTCATCCTCTCTATTTCTCTCTCTATTTATTTATCTACCTATCTTCCTCTCTCTCTCTTCCTCTCTCTCTATTTCTCTATCTACCTATCTTCCTATCTCTCTCTCTTCCTCTCTATCTATTTCTCTCTATTTATTTCTCTACCTATCTTCCTATCTCTCTCTCCTCTTCTCTCTCTATTTCTCTCTCTCTCTATTTATCTACCTATCTTCCTCTCTCTCTTCCTCTCTCTCTATTTCTCTATCTACCTATCTTCCTGCCTCTCTCTCTATTTCTATTTCTATTTCTACCTATCTTCCTATCTCTCTCTTCCTCTCTCTCTATTTCTCTCTATTTCTCTACCTATCTTCCTCTCTCTTCCTCTCTCTCTATTTCTCTACCTATCTTCCTCTCTCTCTCTCTCTCTCTTCCACTCTCTCTATTTCTATTCTCTATATACCTATCTTTCTATCTCTCTCTCTTTCTCTCTCTTTCTCTATTTATTTATCTACCTATCTTCCTCTCTCTGTCTTCCTCTCTCTCTTCCTCCCTATTTCTCTACCTACTTATCTCTCTCTCTCTTCCTCTCTCTCTCTATTTCTCTCTCTCTATTTCTCTACCTATCTTCCTATCTCTCTCTTCCTCTCCCTCTCTTCCTCTCTATTTCTCTACCTATCTTCTTATCTCTCTCTCTTCCTCTCTATTTCTCTCTATTTCTCTATCTTCCTATGTCTCTTCCCCTCTCTTCCTCTCTATTTCTCTACCCACCTTCTTATCTCTCTCTCTTCCTCACTATTTCTCTCTCTATTTACCTATCTTCCTATGTTTCTTCCTCTCTCTCTCTCTTCCTCTCTATTTCTCTACCTATCTTCTTATCTCTCTCTCTTCCTCTCTATTTCTCTCTCTATTTATCTACCTATCTTTCTATCTCTCTCTTCCTCTCTCTCTATTTCTCTATCGACCCATCTTCCTATCTCTCTCTCTTCCTCTCTATCTCTTTCTCTCTCTATTTATCTATTTATCTACCTGTCTTCCTCTCTCTCGCTTCCTCTCTCTCTATTTCTCTATCTACTTATCTTCTTATCTCTCTCTTCCTCTCTATCTATTTCTCTCTATTTATCTGCCTATCTTCCTATCTCTCTCTTCCTCTCTATTTCTCTACCTATCTTCCTATCTCTCTCTCTTCCTCTCTATCTATTTCTCTCTCTCTATCTACCTATTTCTCAATCTACCTATCTTACTATCTTTCTCTCTGTCTTCCTGTCTTCCTATCTATCTATCTATCTATCTATCTATCTATCTATCTATCTATTTATCTTCCCATCTCTCTCCAACATCCAACAGAGGCTGGATGGCCATCTGTCAGGGGTGCTTTGAATGCAATTTTCCTCTTTCTCTCTATTTCTCTCTCTCTCTCTCTGTTTATCTCTCTGTCTTCCTATCTATCTATCTATCTTTCCATCTATCTCTCTCTCCAACATCCAACAGAAGCTGGATGGCCATCTGTTGGGGGTGCTTTGAATGCAATTTTCCCGCTTCTTGGCAGGGGGTTGGACTGGATGCCCCACCAGGTCTCTTCCTTTGCCTTTGCCTCTATGATTCTGTGATCCTCTGTCTCCCCACCTCTCTCTCTTCCTATCCATTTTCCTATCTCTCTTTCTCTCTATCTGTTTCTCTCTCTATTTATTTACCTATCTCTCTGTCTTCCTATCTATCTATCTATCTATCTATCTATCTATCTATCTATCTATCTATCTATCTATCTATCTATCTATCTATCTTTCCATCTCTCTCTCTCTCCAGCATCCATCAGAGGCTGGATGGCCATCTGTCAGGGGTGCTTTGAATGCAGTTCTTAGCAGGGGGTTGGAGTGGATGGCCCATGGGGTCTCTTCCAACTCTATGATTCTCTATCTTCCCAATTCTTTCTCTCTTCATATCTATTTTTCTTTCTCTCTATCTTATCTTACCATCTCTATTTTCCTCTCTCTCTGCCTGTCTTCCCATCTCTCTCTGTCTTCCTATCTATTTCTCTCTCTCTCTCTTCCCTCTCTCTCTCTCTCTCTCTGTCATCTATCTATTTTCCTCTCTTTCTCTTCCTATCTACCTATCTTGCTATCTCTCACTCTTCCTATCTATTTTCCTCTCTCTCTCAGTCTATCTTCCCATCTCTCTCTCTCTTCCTATTTCTCTCTATATTTTCCTTTCTCTTTCTCTTCCTATCTACCTATCTTCCCATCTTTCTTCCTATCTATTTTCCTATTTCTCTCTCTCTCTCTCTTTCTTTCTGTATTTTCCTCTCTCTCTTTCTATCTACCCATCTCTCTCTCTCTCTTTCTTTCTATCTATCTATCTATCTATCTATCTATCTATCTATCTATCTATCTTATTTTCCTCTCTCTCTCTCTCTAACCTTCCTATCTATTTATCTATTTTCCTGTCTCTCTATCTCTCTCCCCCTCTCTCTTCCCAACTATCTATCTTTCTATTTTCCTATCTATCCCCCTTAATGGGTCCATCCATACAGCCACATAACCCAGAATATCAAGGCAGAAAATCCCACAAGATCTGCTTTGAACTGGGTTATCTCAGTCCACATTGCCATATATCCCAGTTCAAAGCAGATAATGTGGGTTTTTATTAAGCTGTGTGGAGCAGGCCCCAGATTAAAGGCAGCTAATCCACAATATCTGCTTTGAATTGGGTTATCTGAGTCCACACTGCCATGTAATCCACTTCAATGTGGATTTTATACAGCTGTGTGGAAGGGGCCTACCTCTAGCTATCTCCTCCCTTCCTGTCTATTATTATTACTATTATTATTATGTTTATTTATATCCTTTTTCTCTCCATAAGGAGACTCAAAGCAGCGAACATTAAAAGCATTACAATACAATTTCAAATATACAAATATTAAAACAATATTAAACATCATTAGTATTAAAAAAACACCTACTTAGCTATCTATCTATCTATCTATTATTCTATTACTCTGCTTGGCCAGAAGAGTTTTAGATTGCCTACCAGTATCTCCATATATATTTTGCAGATGGGACTCAAGCCTCAACATGGATGTTTCAGATACACTTTATACTCATACCCTGAAGGAAACTTTATACAATATTTTTTAACAGTTCTGTGCGTGAAACAAAGTTTGCATATGGCGAACCATCTGAAAACAATGGTGCATCTACAGTATACACTAATAGAATTGATACTTGGTAAAGAGCTATGTGGATTTGGTTCCTGAACTGTTAATAAAGGTTGAGTATCACTTATCTAAAATGCATAAAATCAGAATTTTAAAAAAATATTACTTGGATTTTGGAATATCTGTATTTACATTTGTAGAGTCTCACTTAGCCAGCACCCATAGAGATTCATAGATTCTGGATAAATGTGGTTTCTGGTTGCTTGAGAGTTGCTATTGCAAATAGGCCTATACCCGATAATATACCATACCATAAACTTCTGTTTTGACTTGATATTAATACTGAAATCTAGGAATGAGAAGCAAATAAAGAAAAACGTAATGGAATACTTCTGCAAAAAACTGATTTTTTTGTAATTTTATTTCAAGTACTATTTCTTCAATTTTTTTGCCAGTTGCTTGAGAGTACCGGTTGTTTTAGTTTCGGATAACTGAGGCTACTTCTACACTGCCATATAATGCAGTTTCAAGTAGAGCCATGTACTGCAGTTCAATGCAGTTCAAACTGCATTACAGGGTGAGTGCAGAACCATATAATGCAGTTCAATGCAGTTCAAACTGCATTTTATGGCAGTGTGAAACTGGCCTAAGAGTCTGTTGTATTTACGCAGTGAGAAATCTTGGAGATGGGATTAGAGTGTAAACATGATATTAGCTATATGTTTCAAATACACCTTAAATTAATATCCTGAAGGTAGCTTTATACACAATCTTTTAAATAATATTGTGCATGAAATAAAAGTTCCCATGTGTTAAACCGGCTGAAAGCAATGGTATCACTGGGTGCATCTGCACCTTAGATTTAATGCTTGGTAAGATTGAAGGCTATAGGAAAAAGGAAGGCCGAGTTCCACATGGATGCACTCAATCAAAGGGTGCATTAATGCTGTAGTTAATGCAGCCTGGCACCACTTGAGCTGCCATGACTCACTTCTGTAGAATCATGGGAACTATAGTTTTTTGAGGTCTTCAGCCATCTCTGCCAAAGAGTGCTTACTAAACTACAACTTGCATCATTCTGTAGCATTGGGCTATGGCAATCAAAGCAGAATCAAACTGCATTAATTGTTCAACGTAGATGCACCCACTATCTCAGCCACCCAAGTGGATTTTAGTATCTTTTGGGTTGTAGGATTCTGGATAAGAGGTGCTCATCTTGGACCAGGGTGCATCTACAGTGTAGGCTAATGCAGTTTGATGCCATTTTAGCTGCCCTGGCTCAATCCTGGGAATAGAATCCTGGGAGCTGTGGTTTGTTGATGCACCAGCACCCTTTGGCAGTGAAGGCTAAAGACCTTGTAAAGCTATGATTATTTCATCAGATGGGGACCCCTTCCCCCAGCACCAACTGCCGCTCTGGGCCAGAGTGAAGAGAGAGGGGGCCAGGGGACAGTTCCATCTTGTCTCCTGCATATGTCATCAGTTGTGGACCCCTTCCCCCAGCATCAACTCCTGCTCTGGGCCAGAGTGAAGAGAGAGGGGGGCAGGGGACAGTTCCATCTTGTTTTCTGCATAGGTCATCAGATGGGGACCCCTTCCTCCAGCAC